CAGGAATTAATCCAGTGGTTGCTGCCCCAGGGGGTTATTTTTCTCCTCTGCCACCATCCTCCTCTGCCCTGAGATGTGGGAACAGGGCTGTGGAAGAGCTGGTGTGTGTCTGGGGAGGGGAGGGGTGGGATGTGCACCCTTTGGGACAGGAGGAGTGTCCTGCAGGCAGCAGGACTGATGGATCACAGCACATGGAGCACAGACTCGTTCCCAAGCCATTGTTGCACCCTCACAAGCAGAGCCTGTAATATTGCAGTTTTCATATATTTCGATTAACAGGTAGAACCACACAGGCCATTTGCACACTGGGGCTGAAACATGTTCAAATGCTCTTTGTTTTATAATAATGCTCTTTTTGTACGTGCTGCAGTTCATTTGGTCCTCCCACTGTCACCTTGAATTGCTCTGTGAGGCTGGTGAGGGGCAGCCCTGTCTCCTCTCTGACTCTTCCTCTCTCTGCCTTTTGGGACAACTTTTCTGACAAATCTTGTTGCTTGCAAACATTTGCAAAGAATAAAATTCAATTTGTTTCAAAACTCCCCTGTTCTTTTGCTGATTGCTGGGAAGGGAAAAAGGCAATGCTTGGGTTTATGTTGTGTTTTAAACAGGTTGGCTGCAAAAGTCCTGTGGAATGAAAGAGTTGTGGCTTTAAAGTCTGTGCAGGCTGGACTGGCACAGACTAATTAATCAACTGATCTGTTGCAGAGCAAGTATTTTACTTGACCATGTGTGTATCAAACTGCTTCATCTCTTCTGACATTTAAACAGTCCATACTCTGTAAAATATAAAGTGTTTACTCAAACAAACAAACATATCATTTTTCCAGAGCTCAAGCTGGCACTGCTCGCTTTAAAAATGTGATTATTTTGTTTTCATGCCCTTTCCTTTTAGCAGGATTTAATTCCTGTGGAAGGTAACAAACAGAGATGCTCCACTGACCGAGGGGAACCCTGAAGCACAAGATGGTTTTTCAAGGAGCTGTTTGAACGCAAGAATTCCAAGCAGGACTGGTAAGGAAGGTGCTTTCAGACTCATCTGGTTGTGCTGTTTTTCATGAGCACTGGAGATTTGTAGCAGGACCCTCTGCCAAGCTGGGAGAAAATCAGCTCAGACTTGGCCTTACTGGAAGTCACCAGTGATGGATGGAGGGCAGAGAGAAGCTGAGACCAGCTTGGCCAAAACATCTCCAATTAAACCCAGCACAAAGCAGTCTGAGTCAGATGCTTCCAGACCAAGGCTGGCATCCACAGGGATGGGGAAAGGACTTGCCCACAGTTTTTGGGTGAGTAACATCACTCTCTTAATTACCTAATGGTAATTAAGCTGGCTTTGAAAGGATTGATTTAATTACCAGTGCACTCACAAGGAGTTGTAACTGTGTGTGCTGTTGTAACACAGTGTAACTGTGTGTAAAAAGTTCTGGTTAAAGCTTTTTCAGTCTAATCATTATCAGCATCCCTTTCAATAAATCATCCCTTTCTGTTAACATGTTTAGTTTGTCACTCTTAATCCTGAAGGACAAAGCTGTCTAAAGGATCAGTGACACCTCTACAAGCCTTTAGACATAAACCACTGGCTAAAGCTGGGCCTAGGACTGGAGCCAGGCACACCCAGCCCCTCTGAGGGCTGAGAGCCAGCTCTAAATTAAACCTTGTGACTCACAGGAGGGTCTCCCTGCTGAACTTTGTCCAAAGTGTCCATTTGGTCCACGACAGGACTCAGTTTTAAGCTTTTGTCCTTAAAAACCCTCTTTCCAAGTGCAGTTTGACCCTGACAGCAATTCTGGGTAAGCTTAATGTGTTAATTTTAATTAATTCATTTTATCACCCCCCCAGCCATTGCCCTAAAGATGCAGGTTTAAGTTCTTTAAAGGAATCCACCACAGCACTACATTTTATCACTCGTCTCCCTCCCAAGGTTTCTGGAGCTCAATAAATTGCACAAAGGAGGCTTCCATTTAATTACATCATTAAATTAAGCACCATCATGTTCCCATGAGATTTGCCTTATTAACAAACAGCACTTTTTCTCTTCCCTTGCTTCTTCCTCAGGCTCCCAAGTACCTTCAGAATAATTTATTTACAGGAACCGACTTCCTAGGAAAAGAAAAGGCAGCTGGGAAGTTGTATGAAAACCAGAAACTGTGCTGATTTCTTTCAGCAGTGCTCCAGTATTGCCATCTAGTGTTGTAAAATGATATCCAAGGAAAATGAAATCCAAAGGATTTTATTAGTTACCATGGTTTTGTAGGAAAACTTCAACCTGCAATAAAGTTTATACACACAAGAGCTGCTCTCAGTGAGAGTTATTTTTTTGTTTTTTAACAGTACACCAAAAAAGCCAGGGATAGTAAAGACAGATTCATGGAGACAGCAGTGCTCCAAAAACCCAACTTCCCAAGGCAAGGACTCTGGATCTCCACCCAATTAATGCTAATTAACATTAATAGATTGTTTCACACACTGTAGAACCCTCCACCAGCTCTCCGTGGATTTAATTACTCAGTGGTAAGTTACTGAAAAGCTACTGAAGAGACAGAAGTCCATGATACTGACTCAGCCCAGTCATCCTTTTAATCTAGAATTGATTCTGGAGTTCTGGAAAATAAAAATATTTCTAGGAAACAAACTGGTTTTCCATGGTAAGACTGTTTGGGAACTGCTGGAGTGTTTCCATCTGGTATCCAGCTTTAACTACAGAGTTAAATTACAACTCATTATTTCCAGACACTGTCACTCTCTTAGGCACAAAAAACCTTCCATGATTTTATCTAGAGGATACAAACACCTTTTTTTGAAGATTTGAGTTTTGTTTTTTTTTTTAGCTATAGCAAAGTCAGAATGAGAAAAACCTTGCTGTCACCTCTAGTGCCTCAAAGTCATGATAAAGCAGCAAATATTTAATCACTAAACACGACAGAGAGAGGTAGAAAATGTGGAATTTGGCAAATAATGTAATTATTACACAATTAAACCTCTCCTTGCAGAAATGATGGATTAGTAACTGAAGGTGTTAAATGTCACAGAAGCTCTACTGGCTGTGAGGGACAAGATATTCCAAGTTCCACTCGGATCAGGGCACAAACAGTTCTGTTATTATTCATTTTACACCCTCTTCAGGCAGCTCAGCAGTTCCTCTTTATCCATGTGGTATCCACTCTTTTTCCACTCATCCCTCAGCTGCTGCAGGGCTGTTCCAATTTCCTTCCCAGAAGTCACTCCCATCTTCCGTAAGTCATGGCCACTGACAGGGAAAGTGGGAACAGTCCATTCCTGCATCTCCTTTAAAAGCTGCTCTTCTCCTTGGTACTTCAGGAGCTCGAGGATCCTGGAATTTGTGTTAGCTTCCCTAGACTGGGAGAGAACAGGGAAAAAGAGAGGATTCAGTGGGAATCAGCAGAAAACAGCTCCAACTGTGCTACTCCCATCACACCTCATCGGGCCGGATCTGGACGAGTTGGATCCAGGGAAACAAGGATCTCTCTCCTGCCTCACAAGTGTTAAAACTCAGTGCTAATGTTTTTCAGCCTGACTGAAAGGCTTTCAACTGCTAAAAATATGGTGGGTTTGTTTGTTTGTTTGTTATAAATTTCTTAAAAATGAATTTAAAGCCTCAGTATCTTGGATGGAAAAGAAAAAAAAGCTTTTGAAGCCAAGCAGAAATGTCTGCTGTTCATCCTTTTGCAGAACTAGACTCTACCAAAGGAAGAGAATCTTTTTATACCAAAGTTTCTGCTTTATGTGCCAGAGGCATGCCAGGACATTTGCAATAGCTCTTGATTTCTGGTTCCCTGTCCAGAGGAAAAACAAGGGGGAAAAAAAAAGAATAATAAAATCACAGAATGGTTTGGCTTGGAAGGGACCTTAAAGGGATCTCTCAGGTTGCTCCAAGTCCCAACCCAACCTGGCCTTGTTTGAAAAACAAACCACCCAACCCCAGCTGACTTAACTGGAACTGGTATCAATAACAGTTATACATGAAAGCTACTCCTCCATTTTCTGTGACAATACTACAGTGGCAGCAATCCAAAGCTGGCTCATAATTTTTATCAGTGCATGCCATCCTTGTGAGAAAAATATCATGGCCTTGAAAACACTGGCAAAAAACTGGTTAAGCCCAAGAAAGAAGCCTGCTGTGAAATGGCTCTCAGTTCTTTTAGGCTCTTTCTTTCCACTGGGCCTTGTCATCTCTGCTGCTCTGTACAACTGGAAATTCAGTTTCCTGGGAAGACCAAATAAAAACCATAGGAAACACTTACATCCATCAAAAAGTCCTGGTATGGCCTCAGTGGTTCTGGCCCCGTGGCCTTGCTCAGTTCCTGCCGGTGCTTCACTAAGAAAAGGCCCAGGTTCTTTTCTTCTTTGGAGATTTTCAGCCTCAGGTCAAGGTTGGTGACATCATCCTTCCCCTTGAACAAGGATGTCAGGACAGTCATGGGTTTTGGAGACAGATTCTGAATGTTTTTAGTGACTCTGGCAAATTCCTCTAAATTCCCATCAAGTGGGAGCCCTAAAGGGATACACAAAGAAATGCAAGAAAGCATTAATAAGAAATGTGGATGTTAACACAAGGAAAAAAAAATCAAATCTAATTTCTTTCTGAGCGAAACCAAGTTTTATCTCAGTTTGCCACACTGCAAGTCCTGTTTGTCTATGATATAGGAGTAAGAAATGAATTTTCACCTTACCTATGTACTGGGCAATATCCAGCTCATACATGAGTTGAACCAAATGATTGACATGGTTTCCGAGAAGAATTTTTTTCAGTTCCACCCAAATCCTTTCTCCTGATATTCCAGCCAAACCTTTGGCATTTTCTTTAATTGCTTGCAGTGTAGCAGGTTCATGATCTCCAGCTTTCTCTGCAATTCTTCCGTAAAATCTGCCAAATACACCCCCTGGATGTTAGATTAGGAACAACTATTGCACTTACAATCACAAAATTGTTTAGGTTGGAAAGGAAATACGACAACTACAACTCTTTTTACATCACTGATCTCTTTTTGCATATTTTTGAAACCTTCTACAGTTCATTTCCTCATCTGGGAAAGGCAAAACCTCTTACCTGAAATATCTGAGGATTCGTAAATAATCTTCTTGTATTCTCTCACTTGCCTTCCCTACAAATCTGATTTTCTTGCTTTTCAAGTCTTCATAGCCATTAAAAAAATCATACAGTGTCCCATCCAAACCTAGAAAAAGAAGGAAAAAAACCCAGAAAAATATGAATTTAAGAATGTGGTTGACATAATTAAACACTATAATTTGAAAATACAGAAGGGAAGTTGTGTGAGTTGAGCTGGTTTGTCAGATCACCTCACATATTTGCACAGGAGAATCAAACAAAACTGAAACAGACAGAATTCACTGGCTTATTTTGAAATATTACAGATATTTATAAATATAAATATTTAGAATACTTGCTACTGCATGCAACAGGAAAGCTAAATATTTGCTTTTCAAAGAACCTACCTAAAAACATGGAATTGACAGTGAGATCCCTCCTCTCAGCATCCTTGTGCCAGTCAGTGGTGAACTCCACCTCGGCGTGTCGTCCATCGGTGACAACATCTATTCGAAGAGTGGTAATTTCAAAATTCTGTTCATGGAGCTGCAAATCCCACAGACATCGTTACTTCAGCACAGCCAGGCAGGGAAAAACCTGAAACCTTGTGTTATTTTTTTCAGCCTCCTGTTTGCAGACAGCGAGCGGACAAAGCAACGTGTGCCATGTTTTCCTACGGAGCAGACAACTGAGAAATATGAACCCCTGAAGACAATCCTTGCATTATTTATTTTCTAAAGAGCCTGCAGAAATATTCCTGCAGACCAAGGCAGAGGAAACATGACCTGGGAAATCAGGACAGCTTGCCCACATTATCTGAACATGTGGGTGGTCTGCATCATCTTTTCAGGTGATGACACAGCAGCATGAATGCGTTGCATGCATTAAAATATGGTGATTATCTGAATTCTACAGTGAAGAAGCAAAAAAATCACTCCATGCTTTAGAAGAGGGTCTCATTTAAACCCCTGCTGTGAGGCTTTAACAAAGAAAGAGCACACTAACAGCTTTCTACTGGACATGCAGCACATCCACAGACATTCAGATGTTTGGAAAAGACCCCAGTCAAACCCCAAACCAACCCTGGCAGTGATGGTTCCGTGTTTCTCTCCTTTGTTGTTGATCAGACGAACTCCAGCTGAGGTGAACATCTCCTTCATCTCTGCAGGGGTGGCTGTCGTGGCAAAGTCGATGTCCTGCGGTGTCACCCCACTGAGCAGATCCCTCACGGCCCCCCCTGCTATCCTCAGCTCATAGTTCTTCTTCTCAAACAGCTCTGGGAAGGAAAGGAAAACCATAAAGCACCGTCTCACATAAACCCAGAGCACAGTGTCAGCCCTAACCTGCTTTCTCACAGATCAGGATCACAGATGTGGGAATACACACTCCAATGTGCAGGAAGCAGCAAGTACCTCACAGCTTCATGCAAAATGCACTAAAGAGGGGCACAGCTGAGCACCCACAGGTATTTCCCCTGTCATTTGATTTTTTTTTTTTTCCTGGAGCATTTTTGACATAAATATTGGCAGGTTGCTAATTGATACTGGGGGGTGTGGATCATTTTAGGGGCTGACAAGGGAACAGTGCTTGGTTTACTCATGGCAGAGAGAGTGAACTGTGAACTAAACTTCTCCAGGAACAATATAAAATCATGGAATCACAGCCCACAAAGGGGACACCGAGCTCTGCCTCGTCCCTTGAGACAGGCTGGGAGAGCTGGGGGTATCCAGCCTAGGGAAGAGAAGGCTCTGGGAGACCTTAGACCCTTCCAGTGCCTAAATGGGCTTACAAAAAGGTGGGGGGGGACTTTTTATGGGGCATGGAGTGACAGGACAAGGGACAATGGCCTTAAGCTGAAGGTAAGATTTAGACTGGATATTGGGAAGAAATTCTTGCTGGCGAGGGTGGTGATGCCTTCGCACATGTTGCCCAGAGAAGCTGTGGCTGCCCCATCCCTGGGGCAATAAACATGTATAAACAGAGTTAACACACTGAATAAATATATACTGTCTCTACATGGACTCCCTTTGATATCCAAGGAGTGCAGTCAGCAACTAAAGCAGTATTAGTGCAAATAATACAAGTATTATTATTATTAGGGCAAATAATTATAAGGGCAGGGGGGATGGCTTCAAACTAAGAGAGGGGCAATTAAAGTAGGTACTAGGAAGAAATCCTCCCTGTGAGGGTGGGGAGGTCCTGGCACAGGTTGCCCAGAGAAGCTGTGGCTGCCCCATCCCTGGGAGTGTCCAAGGCCAGGTTGGAAGGGGCTTGGAGCAACCTGGGCTGGTGGAAGGTGTCCCTGCCCATGGCANCAGAAGCCTCATTCCACTTTAGGATCACAGAATCAGGTTGGAAAAGACCTCTGAGATCAGAGTCCAACCTAAGACCCAACACCACCGTGTCAAGCACACCATGGCACCAAGTGCCTCATCACCACCACGCCAACTAGACCATCCACATCCAGGCTTTCCTTGAGCAGGGATGGTGACTTTCCTGAAGTAGTCACCAGGCATGGTGACTCCATTATCTCTGTGGTCAGCCCATTCCATGAAGCTCTAAAGCCTCATGGGACTCATTCCACTGCTGCCTCACTCCCTAGCCCACAGCCCCAGGTTTTGCACCCCCTCATTTCAGGGTATTCTTGCTAATCCCACAATCAGGAGCAGGATGGAATGTGATGGGAGTGACCAAAGCCAAGGGGCAACTTCCAAACACCAGGATTAGGATCTCCACAAGATCAGCAATTGGGACTTCCAGCTTGCAGCTCCCTCAGCCAACTTCCACTGATTCCTTTCATGTTTAACACAGCAGCTCCCTCCTGACAAATGATGCATTTCCAAGGAGCAAATCAGGACTCCCAGCTCTGGGAGTCACCCAACAGCTGGGATCAAAGGGAAGACAGATCCTTTCCTTTTATAGCAACGTGTGCCGAGCCCGCACTTGATCTGGGAACAAACACGGCGTTTAATCAAAGAGGACAAGTCTAACACGGGCTCAGCCGAGTTACACCGGATCCAACAGCTCCAGGAGGAAAACATCAGGGAGAAAAGGATCCCACCCACCCCTGGGGGTGCCCTGGGCTCCCAGGTGGCCCTACCTGTGCGTGCTTGGCTCGGAGCTTGTTCAGGATGTTGGTGGCGTCGAAGCCGGCGTTGTCGCAGAGCTGGCGGGGAATGATCTCGAGGGCTTTGGCGTAAGCACCGATCAGCAGCTGCTGCTTCCCTGGAATGGTCCTGGAATAGTCCCGGAGGTACTTGGAAAGCTCCATCTCTATCGCACCGCCGCCGGCAACGACCGAGTCGTTCTGAAGGGAAAAGGGAAACGGGAAACACTCTCATTCCAAGAAGCGGGAGAGCTGGAAAGGCTCTGTGCCAGGGCAATGCCAGCCCATGGGAATCCATAGTCCGGGCTGCTACCATCCCTGGGATTGCCTGGCAGCACTGCTGGGAGCTTCAGGACCACACTAAGAACCTCCAGGGGCAGCTACCAGCAGCTCATCCCAGCTATGCACGGGATAAAGGGGGATTTTGGGAGGGATGGCAGCTCACAGCCCACCCAGCCCAGGAAACCCACTTCCCTCACTTCCATACCTTGAGCCCACTTCCCTCACTTCCATACCCTGAGCCCACTTCCCTCACTTCCATACCTTGAGCCCACTTCCCTCACTTCCATACCCTGAGCCCACTTCCCTCACTTCCATACCCTGAGCCCACTTCCCTCACTTCCATAAAGCACCCAAAGTTAAGACATTGGCAGCAGCACCTTGCAGCCAAGTTCTGCTGTTTTCTTCAGGAGAGAGATCAGGATGTTCTGTCTAAAGGCAAGAGTTCCCAAAATCTTGATGTGCTTCTTTCCAGCCCCTCAGGACATAACAGCCTTCAAAGCTGTTTTTAACCAGAAACACCCACAGCTTGGCAGCATCCTCAGGACACATCCAGAGAGGCCTTGGACTTCTCTTGGTGCTCCCAACTTGCCTTCAAAAGCAGGGGCCTGTCACCCCCTCAGACTGGTCACCAAAAGGGGGAACAAGTGGATTTACAGGCATGGACACACCCATGACATTAATCCTGTTCCAACCTCTTGAAGATCCACCCAACACACCCAGGGTTGTGGATGGAGGACGGAGCAAGCACAAGTTACAGCTGTGCAGGAAGGAAAGGAAAACCCAGGCGTGCCTGGAAAGCACTTGGAGCCGCTGCCAAAGCAGCGCTGAGTTGGCCAAGGAACAGCACTTGAGTTAATCAACTCCTCACTCCAGGCCTCTCCAGAGACCTCAGCCAACCTCTGGCATGTGAGAAGGCTCCCAGAAGGACTTAAGGCTGTGCCAAGGCTGAGGAAGAACCCCAGTGGCAGCCCAGCAGGGAGGCAGCTCCCCCGGGGCTCACCTTGATGGCTCTCCTGACGATCATGATGGCATCGTGCAGGGACCGCTCCGTCTCCTCCATGAACTGCTCCGCTCCCCCGCGCAGGATGATCGTGCAGGTCTTGGCCTTGGGGCAGCCCGTGAAGAAGTTGTACCTGCCAAAGGCACGGGGCAAGAAGGGTTATGGGGATGGAGAAGTGGTGCTGCTGCTGGAAAGGATCCACACCAGCACTCAGGGATTCCGGACTGAAGCCGTGTCACCCTCACGGCGCCCCATCGGATCTTGGGCTTAGAAGGAGCAGAGCCAGGCAACACACAAGGAAAATCCAGGAAAATCCACTCTCTTCCTGTTGCCAGGGATTTGCTAAACTGGTGCTCCGATTTTCACTTGGCAGGAGTCAGCAGCCAGCTCCAAACAGGAATTCTCCTCCAGCAACAGGAAGGACCCCAGTGTACTGTCCCCAACTTCACCGGCACTGAAGCGAAGTGTCACTATGGAACATCAGATAAATGCCACAATCAACCCCAAAATGTGCTGCTTTTCCATTAGAAATGAAGCAATACCACTGTGCTTTCCACATGACACTGCAGAATAAATATGTGTATTTTAAATGCATATATAAGGGGTAAGATTAGAGGAAATCTCAGCCTCAAAAAGCAGCTTCTGTATACAACAAAAGAATTAGTTTTTAACAACCTTGTTTTCACATCAAGCCCTTGAAAGAGGCTCCAACCTGCCAATGCTTTAACCCAAATTCTTCCAACTGCTATTAGAGGGCTGGCAAGGTACTCCAGGTTTACAGCTGGTGTATTTACCTCTCTCCCCCAATCTGAGTCTCCTCAAAGAGTTCACACCGGCCCAGAACATCATCTGTCAGGGCATTGACACTGGTCTGGATGGATCCACCACAGGCCTGCGTGGAATGGAGATAAAGCAAGGAATTACCAACACTGACAATCCAAATTGATTTCCCAGCAGGGTCTCATTCTTTAGGGACAGCCCAGCTGTTTAGCTGATGCAAATCCATCCCGCAGGCCAGATTCAGGAAAACCCCTTAATTTCCCTGCCATCTCAAAATCCTCGACAGCAAAATAAGATTATGCGGCTTCGAAGCGCTGACTCACGGGCTCCGGAGTCCAGGAAACACACAAAGCTCAGGGAAAAAAAAACCAAACTACTCATGATGGAACAGCCAAGAACTAGGGAAAATAAAGCTGTACTGATGCAATGAGCAGACCTTAATCAGAGAAACAAAAGAGCAGTGCAGATGCAATTAGTGCGTGACTGTTCATTCCGTCAAGGAACAGCCCTGTCTGTCTATGCCAAGTTTAAATAACAACCACCCGGGCAAAAATGAAGTGATTATCATTTTAAATGTTTGCAAGGAACAGCGTGTTCAGGCACAGCCTGCTGCCCTGCTTTGGGAATCCCCAGCCTGGCAGTGTTAAAGTGAAACCAAGGAGCTCACCATCATGGTCCGCTTGAGATCCTCCTCCGGGACGCGGCCGGCACAGAACATGTCCCTGTCGGCAAAGTACTGCGTGGCCACGTCCCCGATGGGAAGTTTGGACAGGACAACTTTGGCTCCTGACTTGTGGATTTTGTCTAGTTTGTCATACAGGATGTTCCACTCGGCGTCCACAATGGCCTGGTAATCCTGGCAGGGAGGAGAGAGGGACAATCCCGTTACGAGGGATTGGGAATGTTGCTCTTGCAGCCCTGGGACACGGCTGCTTTCAACACCCGGGGGATTTTAGGCCCCTCTATATTATGCCCAAATGGGGACCTTGGTTGCTTAAATTTGAGGAGGCTCTTTCAGCATTACAGAATCACAGAATCAAGCAGGTTGGAAAAGACCTCTGAGACAACTTGAGTCCAACCTGTGACCCAACCCCACCCTGTCACCCAGCCCATGGCACTGATGCCACATCCAGTCTGTCCTTAAACACCTCCAGGAGTGACTCCCCCACCTCCCTGGGCAGCCCATTCCAGTGTCTGATCACTCCCTCTGTAAAGAATTTCTTGCCAATGTCCAACCTAACCCTCCCCTGGTGCAGCTCAAGGCTGTGCCCTCTTGTCCTACTGCTGGTTCCTGGAGAAGAGCCCCATACCCACCTCAGCACAGCTCCTGCCAGGCAGACACAGCCTGGTGGCAAAGGCACCCACGGATCCTGCTCTGCCGCGGGGCTTTGCCAGGGCACAGCAAAGGGACAAGGACAGACCTGTGCAGAAATGTAACAAATTAAGACTTTCACGCCCTCTCCCAGCCCATTGGGCTGGGACTAAGAGACCTTAAACTGGCTTTCCAGTGCTTAAAGGGGCTTATAAAAAGAGGGAGTGAGTTTTTTACATGGACAGATAGGACAAGGGGGAACGGGCTCAAACTGAAAAAGAGTAGGTTCAGATTAGACACTAGGAAGAAATTGGGTTGGAAGGAACCTTAAAGCCTCCCACAAGCCCCATCCATTGTGGCCTTGAACACTTCCAGGGATGGAGCATCCACAGCTTCTCTGGGCAACAGAGAAGTTATCCAACCCAGGGATCACAGCTCACAGCTCCTAGCACAAGCTTAGGAACCTGGTGCTGTTTTGGTACTGGTAACTTCTCAAAATGCTACTGGTGTCTACATGGGAAGAGCATTGGACAAGATGGTGTAAAACATTGGACAAAACCTGCCCAGTTTTCCAAATATGTTTGGGTTTGATTTTCTACCTGAAGAACAGATCGTGTTATCAGCACTGTGACTCCAGGTTATTTCTTTGCAGTCAGTCAGCACATTCTTGCCATTGCAAAGTCATTAGAGAACTGTCAGACCATGGCATATAATTAACCCTCCATAAATAGAGTAAACCCATTTCTGGGCTAAACAATGAGCTTGTGTGGAGGTTCCATCCTGTGCTCAATCCATAGTTCCCTTTTTCAGTGCGTGGTTATCTGACTTATCTGCCATCACTTCTGGGGGATCACATCTGTACTTGAAAGGCAGCAGTTATAAAAGAAACCCACGGGGAGATGACCCAGAGGACACTGAACAAACGGAGCAGACTCTTCACAGGACTTGTGAGAGTGCACAGGTAACCCCTGGGGTGTCTGTTGTGGTTTGAGTTTGTCCTGTTGTGCTTGCTTTGAAGGCTGCAGAGGGGCTGCTTTTCACTGGGTTTACACTGGGAAAAGCATCTGCAATCTGCTTCTGCCCCATTGCTTGTGAGGCAGTGGGACACAGCAGCTGTAAGGGAGAAAGTCATTCCCTTCTAGAGGCTGTTTTATATGGCTTGGGTTTCTCCTGTCCTTTTAAAAGGAGTATATTGCCTCTACAAAAAGAATATACCCTTTACCTTCTGCTTATTACTTTTTACCATATATAACCAAAACATAATCAAGCCTTCCATTTGTCCTGAAAACTTAATACACTCATTTTTTTGTGAGGAGTGTAATCCTCTTGTAGACTTCCTGTTGCCATTTTTATTTGTATATGCTTATTTTTTTATCTTTCCAGCAATTTCTCACGTGAAACAGGGAGGGTATCACAGACTGCAGTGTGTTCTTAGAGGTTGTGGACTTACACAGCTGCAGGAATATCTCTTCCAAAAGCTATGTTTTAAGTCTTAGTTTGACAACACTAAAAAAAAAAATAGTGTTTTTACAAACAAAACAGGATAAGATAAACTGAATAGAACAGGATTGTAAGTAAAGAGTAATCTGCATTTCAGGAACATTTTATATCTAGTTTTAAATAGTAATGTGCTGCTCAGAAAATCTAAGGTCTGTGTCTAATATGTGCAAGCTTTTAGGCAGCAAAAACACCTTTGAAAAGCTGATCTTCAGGATCTTTTCAAAAGTATAGGGAAAAAATGTGCCCAGGAAGAATCAAAGCCCTTACTTTTTTGAAAACAAAGTTAAAAAAAAATCTCTAGGCAGCCAGACCCCCTTTTAAATAAACCCAAGGGACAGCCAGCTTTTCTAGTTGTGCTAAATGCCTGAAAGCAATGCACTGACATCAGTCAAGTCAGTAGATGTGAAGCCTAAGCAGCTGTAAAACATGAAGCTTTTTAAAGATTTCATTTTTAAAATAATTTAAATATATTTTTAAATATTTTTTGAATAAATCTTAAGGTTTTTTGAAGCAGCAAAGAAAGTCTGGTGCCAGTAATTTATTCAAAAGCGTGTTGGAAATCTGTATCATGTTCTATCCATTTTTTCAGTGAGTTTTTTTCAGGAAAGCAGTATAGGAGTGGCAGAGATCAGGTGCCTTTGTAAACCTGTGTCCAGTCCACATAATGCCCTCCAGAAGAACATAATCATGTCGTGCAAGTGAAAAAAGCCAAAGGAACGGATTTTTCAGGAATGGTAATGCCTAGGAAATAGTCCTGGAGGCATTGTGCAGGCATGGATGTGTGTGGTAAGGAATATTTATCCCATTATCTGTGAGCCACTACATTGTGGAAGAACCACAATGTCTTCCAATCAGCCAGTGTCCACAAAATCCAAGCCTGGCTCCCCTGGAATATCCATTAACAAACTCCAGGGGTTCAGCTGGGCTCGTGCACATTTGGGCTTGAAGAAAAGCAGACAGACACAAAATGTGAATATATATAATGAGGAGACTTGGACATTAAGAAACACACTGTACTGTAGATTATGTGGCACTTTAATGAACTCTGCACTCATGCACCACTTTGAAAAATAGTTACTGTAAAGCAGAATTGCTCCAACTGTGATCAGTCGGGTCATAACTCAGTCCCTGGGTGATTCATTGGAGGTTCAGGGAGAACTGATGGGCTAAAGATGCTTTCTCTGCTCATTACCATTGGAAAATATTATGTTTTCCATACAAGCAATTGCTGTAGTGCCCCAGGGAAGGAGTGAGATTGGGCCAGGAGGGAGTATTTCTCTTCGGGAAGAACATTTTGGAAAGCTGCTGTTCTCTATGTCCATATTTATCTTGGGTTACACATGAGTGATTACACATAGATTTTTTTTTTCCTCCCAGTAATTCATGAAACAATCCACAGGAAGCATGAGAACGTGCTGGTTTTAAGCATTAAAAAGAGTTGTTCATTTAAATGAGAAACAAACAAAACAGTTTCTCCTACACCCAATAATTAACACTGAAGAATTAGCCTTGAGGTGAGCACTGACTGCATCTTTAGAGAGCTTTACTGAAATAACAGCTAGAAAGTAAATTCCAGTAAGGAGCTATTTTATATCTAGTGGCAGCTAAAAATATGGTTACTTCTGTTCTTGGAGGAAATAGGACTCTGCTGAAAGCCAATCTACCTGAACCCAACACACTCCTCTCCGTGGAGAAATGCTCTAATTCCATGACTGCTCTGAACATCCCCACACAACAGGGTTTGAAACCAGCAGCTCTTTCAGAGAGGGCTGGGAGAGGCAAAGGGAGCAAAATGAATGATGGTATTTCCATTAAATTCAGCTCTTACAAGAAGCGTTTTCCTGCAAGGAAAGAGGGCTCTATCCCTGCAGTTTCATTCTTTTGATCCCGTGGCTATTTTTTGAGTGCTTAACCCTTAGGATCGTGTTCACTTTTTGCTCCCAGGCTCTGTAAGATGGTGCCAAGGCCCCTCTGCTGATGCCTGGCCGTGCTCCTTCACCAGCTAGAGATGAAGGCCAGCAGGATGCAAGTTTGTCTGATCCTCCTTTGGACAACCCACTCAGTTCAGCCCAACACACCCCAAGCTGCACGAGGTGAGGTGTTTTCCTTCTGCCAACGTGTAGCTTTAGCACCACAGGGTGTGCAAATGCCCTCTGTGTGCTGGTCACTGTTCTACAGAGTCCATGGCATGCCATGAGTACTGGATCATGGATAACATGCCTTCTGGGACAGTTGTATCCTATCCCACATTGCTCCCAGCCACTGCCTGAGGACTGTTTGGCTTTGAGAGGGAAGAACCATGGAGATGCTCCTTGTGCCACTGTCCTCTGGGTTGGGCACTTCAGGATGGTTTGTGTTGGTTTTCTGAGCCTTTATGGGGCAGTTTTCCTGGTGGAAGGTGTGCGTTGAACACTGAATTCATGGTTATCAAAGGCTGAAATTATGGGAGAAGAGAAGTGGGGGCTGATCACGGAATCCCAGAGTGGTTTGTCTTGGAAGGGATCTGAAATGTCTTCTCATTCCACCCCCTGCCATGGGCAGGGACACCTTCCACTGGAGCAGAGTGTTCAGAGCCATATCCAGCCTGGCCCTGAACACTTCCAGAGATGCTGATGGTCCTCAACTGCCTTGGAGATGGGAAATAAGGGAGGGCAGGCTCTGAAGAATTGGAGGGGAACACATCAATTATTTCCCTGCCTTGCTATTTCTCTGCTACCATTTTCCCCAGCAGGAGACCCTCCTCATTTCCATGGGAGCTCCAGGAATCCCTTTTGCCCTGTCATTCTAAATTATCATTCTCATCCTTCTATGTTTTCTTCCATTTATGCTTAATTCCTCTGTTCATCATTTTGGTTCTACTTTGTGACTTTCAACCTCCTCTAGAAAGCACCCCCATGTTATGCTCCTCTGGAAGCTTCTGTGGGTGAGAATTGTTTGTACCTTCCATCAGCCCTGTTTCTATATGTCTGTGTGGCCATGAGGACCAGGATGAAAAACCTGAACCTAATTAACAAGCCAAATATAACATATCATACTCATTTTCAAGTTGAAACTGTCGTAAACATCCATTTTTAAAGCTAAGTTTTAAGTAAACTCTTATTTGATGAGGTTTTAGTTATTTAAAGATATTTTTCAAATATTAAAAACATATTATAAGAAGCTGTTGAGAGAATATGAAATGGAAATTTGCTTGTCTTTCTCACTGCTTGCTAACAGGTATCACTCTAAACAATTCACTGCATTAGTATGCCATGAATATTTTTGTTTTCTCCCTTGCAGTTCAGGTTTTCCCACCTGTTAACTTCACCCTTACAGTCTCTGCATTAGCACAAGTCCTGTTACACTGGGAACCAAACCCTGCTCAAGACCAAAAAAACGACACCATTCGATATGATGTGAAAATCCTCAGCCCTGTGCCTGAAGAGGTAAGAGAAATAAAACAAGTATCCTGAGAAGGCTAAATTCCTATTATTCTCTTACACCTAAACTCTGAGCACTGGAGAGATTCCCTCTGAGCTTTCCTTACAGCCACAGCTCTGCTGGGATGAGGATTAGCCTGGGAATTGCCTTTCCCTGCAGGGTTCACCTTGAGGGGATGATGAGACCGGTTTTAAGTACAGGCTCCACGTTCAGGCCAACTTAATGTCTGGCTCAGTCTCTGCAGGTGCCTTATTTCAGCTTCCATCCCGTGGGATGCTTATTTGATACTTTTTATCCCAAGTATGACACCAGGAAGACCCACAGTGTCCGAACGGTCGCGCTCCACGACGGCTTCTCCGCACGCGTCCGGACGCTGCTTCTCCACAACGACCTTCAGATGAGAAGTGAGTGGGTGCAGGAAAACCTCCCACCTCTGCCAGGTAAGGAGAAACCCAGGGAAGGTCTGCATTTTGTGTTCTGCCCCAGACATCAAATGGTGGAAGGTTTTATACTTCAAAAAATGCAACATTTTGCTCCACTGATCTTACAAAAGGATTTAGTCCAGGCCTTTCTATTCTAATCTCCAGGACAATCTGGAGGTGCAGAAAATGGATAACACATATAAAATATTCTAAAAATTCCTTGCTAAGGCTGAGATCACCTACTGTGGTGCACTCTGGGATATTGCTGCCTTATTACACATTACATTTATAATGGTGCTGTGTGGCACAGCTTTACTTACACGGACTGGGAATCTCCATCCATCCATAACCAAGAGTGACATGGAAGAGAACTGGAACAAACGGGCCAAAGGCTGGATTCAGAGTGTTTTAGCAGCATGAATTTCTTCTGATTTTTGCAGTAAGATTTTCCTTCTGCTCTGCAATTCCTTGACTCTCCAGGTGCTCCGGAGACATCCATCACCAATTTGTCCTGTGTCACTCACCTCACTGTTTCTGGGACTGTCTCTCTGCAGTGCTCTTGGCTTCCTGGCCCAGGGGCACCACAAGATACCGAGTACTTTCTGTTTTACAGGTTGGTGTTTCCCCCCTTTTCACTCAGCAGGAGATTTCTTTAAGGGCATCACGTCTCACAGGCGTTTGAATTTAGGTACAAGAACCACACTGAGGAATGTCCCCATTATGCCAAAGACAAGTGGGCCAGAA